TTTCAGTTTCCTCTAAAACTCAGTACATAGCCTTTTGTTGCAGGAGCTGAATGGCTGATTGACATTTTGGTTCCATAGTCATTTCATACCTCTTCCTCATCTGCCCTACTACTATGATAGAGGAAGTAAAATACTTTTCTCTCTGATGGAGTTCCATGAAACAAAGGATCTATTACAACTTTCCAGCAATCCTCAAATCTCTCTTGCATATCTGAACTGAAGCTAGCTGGCAGGTAAGAGAAGAGGATACAGTCAATCTGTCCCACTAGTCCCACATAAGTTCTTAGAGTCCTGAGGTTGGGTGTTACAGACTTCAGTACCCTCTGGTAAAGAACAGCTCATAAAGAAGTCTTTCTTTCCTTTTTCTCTAAGAAAATAATCTAGGGCCTGCTTTCAAATTCTGGTACAGTATAATAATAGCAGCTCATATTATTGAAAGTGTACTAGGTGCCAGGCACTCCTCTATGTGATATATATATAAATATATATATATATATAATCTGTATATATTAATCCATCCCATTCTTAATAACAACCCCAGGTCTTAGATGTCAGGTTGGCAATGTTCTTCAGGTGTTTGAGAAGAGAGCATGTCCCCAATTTGCAAATTAAAGTTGATGTTGACAGTATTTAAAATGAAGTGAAAATTATATTTAAGAATGTCATTTTTGATAGAATTACTTACCACTGTCTTTTATTTCCTGGTATCATTTGCAGGTCTTAACTGGTGTTGATTAGAGTTGCTATGCTGCTAATTCAGAACAATTAGCTTTGATTAGTAGATCAATTTGCAACCCTGAAATTAAATTTTGACAGATAAAAATCTTCAAATAGTATATATTCTGTATTTTTAATGAAGTACAGTGAAGTTCATTATGTGATCAGTGGGTATAAAGAAATAAGTTGCTTGCATGGAAATTATAGCTCATTACTAAAACGTTTTATTTCTCTTTATTCTCAAAGACTATGTGCACAAGGTAAATACAACACTTTTTTTTTTTAACCAAGAAAAAGATTGTATAAAAGGTTGTACTAGAAGTCAATTACCAACCACCTTAGAGTTTTTGTTATCAGGCACAGCATGGTATAGTAAGGAGCAGATGCGCTCAAATAAAGTAACAGATCGGGGTTCTCAAAGTGCAGATCTTCTTTGATTTATGGTTTGGGGTTATGTTCTGATAAATCCATTTTAAGTTGAGACTATCATAAGTCGAAAATGTACTTAATACATCTAACCTACCAAACATCATAGTTTAGTGTAGCCTACCCTAAACATGCTCAGAACACTTAAAATTAGCTATAGGAGGGCAAAATCATCTCACACAAAACCAGTTTTATAACCAAGTGTTGAATATCTCATGTAATTTATTGAATATTGTACTGAAAGTGAAAAAACAGAATGGTCATATGGGTACAGAATGACTGTAAGTGTATCAGTTGTTTACGCTCATGATTGCTTTGGTGACTGGGATCTATGGCTTGGTCCCCCTTCCCAGCATCTTTAGAGAGTATCATATCACATATCGGTAGTCCAGGAAAAGATCAAAATTCAAAGTACTGTTTCTGCTGAACACATACTACTTTTACGCCATCATAAATCTTAAAAACTGTAACTTGAAACATTATAAGTCAGGGACCATCTATAATGCTATAATTTATCAGTTATTTGAAGTAAGGAGGTTTGCTTTTTCTCATCTGTACAATAGGAATACATGAGTTAATTATAAGGATTACATAAAGGTAATATAAACCTCTTAGTATTAATTTGGTAATAGTTCTATAAATTCCAAATGGATTTATATTTTCACAGAAAGTCTTCTGTGAAATATAAAAATATGTATAAAAATATATAAATTATATTTATATTAGTATTTTGTTAAAAAAACTAGAATAATGTTGTTTTCTAAATATTCTATTTCTTTTTCAGAAAATTCATTGTTAGTATATAAAAACTATGAATTTTGAATGTCAATTTTGTATCCTGCAACTTCACTGAATTCATTGATTAGATCTAACAATTTTTTGGTTGAGTTGTTAGGATTTTATGTATGTAAAATCATGTCATCTGTAAATAGAGACAATTTTACTTCTTCCTTTCCAGTTCTGATAGCTTTTCTTGCTTTTCTTGCCTCATTGCTCTAGTTAGGACCTCTAGTACTATGTTGGGTAGGAGTGTGAGAGTGGGTACCCTTGTCTTATTCCTGATCTTAGAGGAAAAGCTTTCAGCTTTTCACCACTGAGTATGATGTTAGCTCTTGGCTTATTATATATGGCCTTTAGAATGGTTATATATGTTTCTTCTGTGCCTGCTAATTAAGAGGTGTTTTTTTTTTATCATGAATGACTTAAATTTTGTCAAATGATTTTTCTGCATCTATTGAGATAATCATGATTTTGTTTTTCTTTCATTCTGTTAGTGTGATATATCACAATGGTTGATTTGCATATGTCAAACCATCCTTGCATCCCAAGGATAAATCCCATTTGATCATGGTGTATGATCCTTCTAATGTGCTGTTGGGTTCCTTTTGCTAGTATTTCATTGAGAATTTTTGCATCTATATTCATCAGGGATATTGGCCTGTACCTTTTCTTGTTTTGGTATCAGAATAATGCTGACCTTATAAAATGAGCTTGGGAATGTTCTCTCCTTTTTGATTTTTTGGAAGAGTTGGAGAAAGATTGATGTTAAGTCTTTTTTTTTTTTTTTTTTTTTGAGAGAGGGAGAGAGAAAGAGTACTTGTGCATGGGGGCAGGACGGGGGCGGACAGAGGGAGAGGGAGAGAGAGAATCTTAAGCAGACTCCATGCCCAGAGTGGAGCCTGACATGGAGCTCGATCTCATGACCCTGAGATCATGACCTGAACTGAAATCAAGAGTCAGATGCTAAGTTACTGAGCCACCCAGGTGCCTTGATGTTAAATCTTTTTTAAATGTTTGGTAAAATTTGACCATGAAGCCATTTGGTCTGGTGCTTTTCTTCTTTTTAGTGAGAGATTTTTGATTATTGATTATAATTATTAACAGTTATTGGTCTATGTAGATTTTTTATTTTTTATATTCAGTCTTGCTAAGTTTTATTTATGTTGTATTTTCTTTTTTGTTTGTTTCAAGAAACTTTTTTATTTCCCCTTTCATTTATTTTTGACCCATTGGTTGTTTAGTAGAGTATTGTTTCATGCGCTCATGAATTTTCCAGTTTTCCTCTTGTTATTGATTTCTAGTTTCATGTCACTGTGGTCAGAGAAGATGCTTGGTATGATTTCAATCTTCCTGAATTTGCTAAGACTTGTTTTGTGGCCTATTGTATGGTTTATCCTATACAGTCTTCCATGTGCACTTGAAAAGATTGTGTATTCCGCTATTGTTGGATAGAATGTTCTGCATATGTCTGTTAGGTCCATTTAGTCTATAGTGTTGTTCAAATCCACTGTTTCCTTATTGGTGCTCTGTCTGGATAATCTATTCATTGCTAATAATGGGGTATTAAATTCCCCAACTATTATTGTATTACTATTTATTTCTCTTTTTAGCTCTGTTTTTGCTTTATATATTTAGGTTCTCTAATGTTGGGTGCATGCATTTTTGTAACTTATATCTTCTTGGTGCTCTGACTTCTTTATCATTATTTAATGACTTTCTTTGTCTCTTAACCATTTTTAATTTAAAGTCTATTTTGTCTTATTAAGTATAATTACTCCTGGGTTTTTTTGTTTATATGTTTTATTTTTTGTTTTGGTTATCATTTGCTTGCAATGTCTTTTTCCATCCCTTCACCTTCAGTCTTTGTGTGTCTTTAAGGTTAAAGTGAGTTTCTTGTAGACAGCATATTGTTCGATTTTTAAAAATCCATTAAGACATTATATGTCTTTTAACTGGAGAATTTAATCCACTTACATTTAAACTTACATTTAAATCCACTTACACAAAATAGGTAAAGACTTACTATTGCCATTTTGTCAATTGTTTCCTGGTTGTTTTGTAGATCCATTGTTCCTTGTTTCTTATCCTACTGTCTTTTGTTTGTTTATTTGTTTTGATGTCTTTTGGTATTAGTATGCTTTAATTTCTTTATTGTGTTTTTTGAGTAATTAACACAGGATTTCCCTGTGGTTACCATGAGGCTTACATAAAATATCTTAAATTTATAACACCTGATTTTAAATTGATAACAACTTCAGTAGAATTTGTAAATGTTACTTTTACTTTTCCCCTCCCTCACATTTTAGGTTATTGCTGTTACACTTTATATGTGTTTTTTGTTTATTTTTTACTGAGTAACTAATATTGTTATGGTTATTTTTATTGTATTCTTTTTTTTACCTTTTAAAGTAGAGCGGTAAGTGCGTTATGCACCACTATTACCATATTGCAGAATCTACAACTATATATTTACCATTCCCAGTGAGATTTACCCTACCTTTTTATGTTTTTGTGATGTTAATTAGCATTATTTTACTTCCACTCAAAGAATTTTCTTTTTGTTGTGTTCCACAATTCCCATAGGCAGGCTTTCTTCATTCTTTTCCATTCTTTTTTTCTTTTTCTTTTTCTTTTTCTTTTTCTTTTTTTTCCTCCTCTGACTAGGTAATTTCCAAAGTCCTCGTCCTCCAGATTCTTTCTTCTGCATGGTCAAATCTACTTTTTAAACTCTCTATTATATTCTTCATTTCAATTATTATATTTTTCAACTCTAGGATTTCTGTGTTTTCTTATGTATGTTTTGTTTGATGGTTGCTATTTCCTTGTCAAACTTATTTTGATCATGCATTGTTGTTCTAATTTGGTTTAGCTGTCTATGTTTTCTTATAGTTCACTAAACTTCCATAAGAGGATTATTCTGAAATTTTTGACAGCTCACAGATCTCCATTTCTTTAGGGTCAGTTATTAGTGCTTTATTAGTTTTCTTTGATGGTATTGTATTTACCTCATTTTTCATGATTCTTGATTCATTACATTGGTATTTGTGCATTTGAGTAAAGGAACTCCTCTTCTACAGGTTTGCTTTAGAAGAGACAGTTCTTCACCAGGTGCTCAGTTTGGGTTTCTGGATATGTCTGCTGGTAATGTCCTTGGACAGGTAGGTCCTGCTACTATGGTCTATTTTGGGGTGAAGCTGTTGTTCAAACTATGAGGACAGGGATGGGGGGTTGTGACACTGCCTGAGAACAGTTGGATAAGACTGCTGGCTTTGTTCCCTACCCAAGTGAAACTATAGGATGTTTGTTTGGATTTTCTGGTCAGGCTTACTAGATGGTCAGGACTGGGTACTATATGTAGTATCACACAGGACTATGAATTAACTTCCCTGTCCTGGCAGGACCTCAGGACAGAAATCGGGACCTAAATAGTTGGTTGTTTGGGAACCTGAATCAGGCCAGAGTGTGCACTGAATTCCCTAATCAGGTGAAGCCACCAGTTTTGCTCTGCAGTTGGGGGAAGCCATGGTCTGTGCTCTGTTCAAGTGCTACTGTGTACGGGGCTTTTGAATGGGCTGTGTTGCTTCCAATGTGCTTTGGTTAAGTCCCCTGGTCAGATAAGCTAAAGGCTGTATTCAGCAATGAATGGGACTATGAAATAGATTCCCTGCCCAGGCACAGTGGGAGATGCAGTCTAAAGCCACTAAAACTCTTTGTTGTCTTAACTCAAGCCAACCCACACTCCAAGTTCCATGACTAAATAAGACCATTGACTTTGTTGGGCAAACTACTGGCTTTACCTTGCTGTCTCTTGGGTTGAGTGAAACCTCTATAGTTTCCAGGTGTTGTCTCCAGCCCTTCTGGTCAGATGGGGCTGGAAGATACTTTCCACAGCAGGTGGGGCTATGTCTCAGCTCCCTTGCCTGGGTGGGAAGGGAAGGGGCCACTCCAGGTTATTTCCAATTTACCAAAGAGTCTCTTTGGTTGGAGGAGGCTGGAAGCCACCTCAGTGTTGGCTCTGTATTAATCCCCCTGCCTGTGTGTAGCATAGGAACATCCATACTTGATACTGGCTTTGTTCTGGGGGCAATCAGCTTTGGACTGTACTACTTCCAGGAGTTGTCTTTAGCCCTTCTGGTCAGATGGGGCTGGAAGGCATTCTCCACAGTGGATGCTGCTATGATTCAACTCCTTACCTGGGCATAGACAAACCAGGCTCTATGCCAGCAAAATCCTCTATTTGAATCAGGTAGATCTGTACCCACTGAGTTCCCTGGTCAGAGTATGCCCTTGACTTGGTTCTGCAGATGAGCAAAACCTCCAGTTGGAATTACTACTTGGGCACTGCAGGTATGAACTCTGTCTGCCAAGATACATGTGCTAGTTGTTGCAAGCCCCTCCCCATTTCTCCATCACAGATTCTCAGTGGTTGAGCCCCACACATTCCCCAGCAATCCATGGTGTGAAATCAGAGTAGAGGCTTTTGTGAAGTGACACACAATACTAGGGGTGGTGCTGGTTGTCCCCCAGAGGCTCCCTTTTCCAACTGGAGGAACTGGTGGCTTAGGGAGATGTCTCTTGGTGCTGGCCTGGCCTGGGGTAATGCAGTCAAAGTGTAGCTGCTTCTCTTTTGTTCTAATGCAGTCTGTCTTGGTTTCTGTAGTGCAAGAGAGGGGGCAGTACTTAAAACCCACATTCTAGGATTCTCACAGCGACGTTTTGTTCCTGAATACTTGTTAGTTGTTACGCTTGTGAGGGGGCGATGTCAAGAACAACCTGTCGCTATCTTGGTGATGTCACTCCTGCTCTAAACATTTTTAACCTAATAATATCGTTTTGTTATTTCAGTAATGCTTTATAGTATCTTTTTATTTTTTTCCTGTACACTTAGGTCATCTCTCATACACCCTATACATTTTTTTTTATTTGTGTGAAAAGGAAAGAAGGAGGGATATTTCATTAACCCTGATATTCATCACTATATGCATAATAGTGGATCAGGTGCTACTGGTAGGAACACACATATCAATTTATTGTTTCTGTCCACAAAGAGCTTATTGCTAAGTTGGGAAGAAAATTTTCCTGAAAACGTTCATGATGCTAGCACCCAATAATATTGTAATTGTTGCAAGGGAAAGTTGCTGCATATAATAATGTAAAGATTAAATTTTATTCATATTACATTTAGTATAAGACAAAGATTGGTGAAAGATTTGAATTATCTAAGTAACACCTAAGGAAGATTTACCATATGTGTCTTCTTCAGTAGATTTTAAAGTATCAACAGACATGGCTATGTGAATAGAGTCTTTCTTATGGCCCCACTGGCATTAAATTGAGCGTTGTTACTCAGAATGCATTCATTTACCCACTGTGCTTTGCTGAAAAGACTAGTGGTAGAGTCAGAATGATTGTGATGATGATTATTATTGGAATCAGCAAGAAATATATATATTTGGATATTACTGAATACAGGTAATACTAGATTTTCTTTATTATTTTTTAAAGATTTTATTTAGTTAGGGGTGCCTGGGTGGCTCAATTGGTTGAGTGTCTGACTTTTGGCTCAGGTCATGATCTCGGAGTCCTGGGATCAAGCCCCGTGTGGGGCTCCCCACTCAGCGGGGAATCTGCTTCTCCCTCTTCCTCTGCCCCTCCTCCTGCTTGTGTTCTCTTTCTCTCTCAAATAAATAAATCTTTTAACAAAGGAATAAAGGAATCTATTGTGCTGGAGTTCTTAAGTTATTCTAAAATTTCAACCAATTCTTTTTAAAATGGTTTGTTTCTCACATTTTTATTGTTCTTATACAAAGTATTCATATATATTTTCTTTTAAATTCAAACTCATAAATCTTAGGTTCAACTTAAGTTAAAGTTGTTAAATAGCAATTTGTCTTTTATCTCCTCTCCTGTCCTATTTTGATCTCCTGTATGTTACAGACTTCTCATGTTGCCCCTTAACCAAGATCTCTGATTAATTCTGGCCACTGTTATCCCCTTATTAAAAATATAAATTTCTCTTCATTGCCATCAACATTTTGAAAATGACAATAGCTAAACAAATACCCCATTTACTACTTATGTATTAATAAATACATATTCTCTGAGGTAATATATTTGGGTTTTAATATGAGTATTCAAGAACCATAATAAGAAGGACTGATTTCCTCCTGTCCTGCAAGGTTAATAACTTTTCTACACATATATGGAAATTTTCCTATAGGATTCAATCTTCTAGATCTATTTTAGATAGCACCTATTTTATGAAGCCATTTCCTATCCATACAATGACTATATATTCTTCTTTGAACCTGGAGACTCACCATAATTAGCAGAACTCATGTTCTCTTGTGCTCTCTTAGCAGAGTTTTCATGTCTTGTTTGGATGGTGAATTATATGGTCACCCATCTATCCTACAAATTAGAAAATTAGAATTGAAATGAATCTTTATTTTTGTTATTATATCATATTATTAATGCTTATATTTGAGAATTTATTAAATTCAAAATTTGGTTTGTCATAATTTCATCATATATGTATAATATGTATAATGTATTATATATGCTATATATAATCTTTATCATATTAATTTAAAGACAGATATTTGACATTATCTGTATTTACAACTTGCATACAGTGCATTGAAAGAAGCTATGTGATAAATTTTGAATAAATGAATGATCTTAGTTTTAGATATAGTTCCTTACAGTAAGTGCTAAGTTTTCCTATTTGTTGTTATTAAAGGTTATATTAAGTATGTGTATAATTGTCTTATTTACTTAAGCAGTAAATGCCTAGCTTTTTAAATTGTTCATAACTCGGCGCCTGGGTGGCTCAGTTGGTTAAGCGACTGCCTTCGGCTCAGGTCATGATCCTGGAGTCCCAGGATCGAGTCCCACATCGGGCTCCCTGCTC